GGCTTAACAACCACCCAGTGGAGATGAGAGTATTTGCTTCACAAATTGAGACGATCAGTTTGATTTTCTAGGTTACCTTTCACAGATGCTAGCAGTGGTTCACAGACCACAGGAAGAATCATCAGACCAGACAGAGGTAAAGTAGAAGTCAAAATACAGGGAAGTATATGCAGGCAAAACTGTCTAAGTGCTCAAGAGGCACCCAGGAGTCAGCTAAAAATACCAGCTTGTACTCAGTAGTACTGTGAGAGGTGGATTCTCAGCCAGAAGGTTGGTGACAACATAGCAGTAACACAGTTACGTTAGCACTGTCTGACTTTAGATTGCCACTGCATAATCATCGCCACATGTCTGCGTGCTTCATAACATAAAGTTATAGATAACCTGAACCTGCGTGCCAAGTCAGACAAATGGTGGTTAATTCTACCAAACGTAGGCAGAACGTTCTTTCCACAGAGCAGTACTCCCCATGCAGAGTTGCCTGCCCTGCTTTCTTCCACTAGACTCCAGACAGCTGCCCTTTTTGACACCTACTTCCAAAGTTCATCATCCACAGACTTACTGTTAAGGTGGGATTTTTGAGGTTGCACTCTAACAATATCCGTGTGAGCATATGGGACTCGAAGTTATTCAGAAGCTTCAGACGCCTCTGGACAGGCCAAAGATATATCTAAGAGTTGCCTTGTCCATAACGTAAAATACGCTGTTACCATGGCAAAATAACTCAAGATTGATGAAGTGAATCCGTTTTTCTGAACAACAGCATAGAAAGCTCCCCTGTGCTCAGAAATTAAATAGACTTTTAAACATTTTAGAGTTTAAGATTAGTTTCTATGTCATGCTAATGACACTTACTCTAAGATGCTATTGCTGATTATCGTGACTCTCTCCCTTCCACTAGCAGGCAGCCAGAAGAATATTGCCTGAGAGGGATCAGACAGTCAGATCCCACATCCCGTCTAAAAGTTTGTCTTAAAAGTTTTTTTAAAATATTCTCAGCTGATGTAAACTGGCATTCTTCAGTCCTCACTGATACTAATAGAGCCAGATCAATTTGCAGCTGCTTAGCACCTGGGCCAAAGATTTTTATTTTTTAATCAGAGAGAAAGCCCCATTTATCCAGGGATCTCACTTTGGGACAGCAATACCTTCCACAGATGTGTCTGCTCAGATTTCCATCAGGAGTCTCCATCCCGGGATATTTTATTTGCATAACAATCAAAATACAGTCACATGCCTCATACAGCAGGACACAGCAAAGAAGTGGGTGAGGGCCGAGTTGGTTCTTTAAGCTGTATATCACATATTGATTGCTTGCATTCAGTTTATTAGTTTAACAGTTTCTAGTCTAGCCTCATTCTGTTTTAATTTAAATGATCAAGGCTTTACACATGGGATCAAGCAAAGGGCAGTCTGAAGGTTTTAGCAGCTCTGGGACCAAAAGGAATGTGACTGTAAAATGCACTGTTCTACTTGTCTATCGCTTGCCTATTTTTATTTTAGAGGAGAAGAAAAACTCAGCAAGAACAGATGAAAGATTAGGAGGTTTCAGATTTATTATCACACTGAACAGAAAGAGACGGAGATTTAATAGGGTTTTTATTTTGGTTTTGTTGTCTTGTTTGGTCTCCTTTGATGAGCTGATGGTATGTGAATGTAAAGAGCACCATTGTTTAACACTGGCCTTGCTCTAAAATCACTTTATGAGAATGACAAATTTATGGTGTGAAACTAGAGGAATACAGAGGAGTGTTAAACCAAGAGGAAGAACTAACTGATACCCTGCAAATCTGTGAATGGACTTAGGATCCTGCGCTACTGATAACTGTGTTTGTTAGCACTGAAGTCTGCATTTAGGAAGGCATGCTGAAAATGTGCCTTCCTCTCCCCCAGCGTAGCCCACCGCCCTGAAAAAAATCGGGGTTTCATCTGATACACTACTTGAGGACAAGAATAAGCAGAGAATATTTATTCTCCTTAAGCTGGCAGTGCCTTTTGGTGACTGATCTAAATTCTGTGTACCTGCGGGGCTAACGAGGGAGAAGGAGGCATTCACTGACCAGGGAGAAAGAGATTAGGGCACAGGAAATTTGCTGAATATATGAATTTATGGCATGTGCTGCACTTTGCGTGTTTAGATGTGAAAGTGCAAGCAACGAATCCAGGATTTATGAATCTCAGCCCAAATGACTGTGGAAATCTTCAAAAGTCTCTTACGTGAGAGTCTACACCTGAAATATTGTCACTTCTTTGGTGAAAATACACTAGTGATGATAAACATCAGTCAGTACACACTGCAGTTTGAATAAGCTGAAACACCACGATGAGTAATGCTGCAGTAAGAGTTACATGATCTGTTTTCCTCCTGAAAATTCTGGGGCCACGTTTTCATCTGCTTGCCTAACTTTTGACAGTCTGGGGCTTTGCTGTACAGAGGCAAGCTCGGGTACTGCAGATATCATGTTACATAATGTCATTTTATGGAAGGAGATGGGCAGCAGCAAAGTTCATTTATTTGCGAGTGTGCCTTCCTGGTCTCCTTCAGCTAAAGCGTAATAAACATGCATGCGCAGTGAACGGTGGGCACGTGAAGCCAAAAAGAATCCATAGAATAAATGTTGGTTCTCCTTACTGTTTTTCCAAAGATTTATTTGATGCAGGTAAAAGATGAGTATATTCATCTTAATGACTGCACCTGCATAAAATCATTCTTGGCTATCATGTGCCTTTTTGCATAATTATAGCAATCAGTACATCTAGTCCAGACTGCAAATGAATATATTCTCAACAGAAACTGCAGCCTGTATTGGTTAAACAGCTGTGAGGGAGGGATAGGAGGGAGAGACTTATTAAATAAAAATAATGGTAGGTATATTTTCTTATCTCTTTAGCAAGATACAAGAACAGAATGACTGATTTCCTAGCATGTATGAAGATTCATTTCATACATACAATATAGAACTCATCCCACTGAATAATTTGAAGGAGCATATGTAACAAAATATATCTGATACATATGTACAGCTCTCAAAGTATAAATGAATTTGGATCCAGTGGTGTTAGTCCCAAGTAAAATGACTTTCATAGGCAGTAGGAAGACATAAACAAGATATATAAGTAAGCACACCATTTCCTAAACAGGCAGGTAACAGTATTTTCATGTGTTCCAGGGTATTTGGCAGGCTTATACTGCATTCATTTTTCTAAGTGTAACCATATTTAAATGTAATTAATCCATTTGGCCATGAGAAGGTTTAGGTGCATGCCTCTGCTTTAATCCCCCTTACCTACAGGAATGGTCATTCCATGGATTTTGTCTGCCCAACCGGCGTAGTACCTCAGGGTTTTTATGACTCCCTGAAGATCTACATAGAAAGCTTGCAAGAAAGGTTTGCCACTGTTCAGTGATTCCATAGTCTAGAGGACAAGAAAAAATAAAGAGATATAAGCACATTTTTTGACTATTGTACTTAAGTATTCACTGTCTTAACAGCTCTCCAATCACGACAAAGATTTTCATGAAGACTAACCTTTGGCATAGCCTTAACCCAGAAGGTTCAGAACAAGTGTCTGATCCCCTTTGTTCCTTCTTTTTACAAGTGTGAACAAAAAGCATTTGCCATTAAAAAAATCTGGTTACTTCTGGAATATTCTGGAATGACTTATGATTTTAAGAACGTGTACATGCGTGTGTGTTTATGTCTGTGTGTCTTGTGGGTTTGTGTGTGTATCCACATGCATGTACATGTGCCTGTGTGTATTTTGGACCCAATAGCCACCATGCTTGGTCCAGATACATAAATGCTAAATTGCTTTAATCAGGAGCCAAGATAAAAATGCCTGTCAAACTAGGTTCTGTTATGTTAATGATAACAGCTGAGAAGGGGCTCCTTGTAACCCCATATTAATGATCTGAATCCATAAAGAGAAGAATGGACATATCCCTCTTTATATAATTGATGTGAATATAAAAATTTCTCTATATGGCTGCCAAGACTCCTGCTGAGGTCTGAGATATCTATACTGTACAGCCAGTTTATTTATTGCCATCAAATAAACAAACTCTCCTCTAGGGAAGCTCATAAATTAACAAGCTAATGTCCTTATTTTTAAGTTAATATTCGTATTTTTTAAAGTATCTTATAAGCTATCCTCTTAGGGGTTCCTAAGATCATTTAGCAAAAAGAATCCAATAAAATATCCTAAGATGTTGAGTAGCTTAACTCATTCCCAATAGCTGTCTAATAGAAATTGTTAAGAATGGGCAAAGTACGCCCATGTGTAACACAACAACCATCAAATGAGTTTCTATAGAGAAGAATGGAGGCCTAATTCTGCACTGACTTATATCCCCAAGAGCAATTAATGGCATCGCCTGCAGTGCAATTCAGTAAAGAACTTAGCTCTAGAAATAAAAATCAAATGACAGGCAGAGTAAACTTGATTTGCTGTGCACTTCCATCTCCCTGTGGCGATTTTACAGTATGCACTGGTGGTAAGATGATTTAAGTGTTGACAAAGCTGGAATTAAGATGTTCACCAGCTTAGTTCAAAGCACTTGACATGTGGAAAACAACATTAACAATGCCACTGTTTAGGTGGCTTCATACATGAACAAAATAGTGCAGTACCCAAAATACATGTGACCACTGGAGTGTCAGTAAGCGTGTCACCGGCTGTTTCATTAACAGCTGCACAATGACTCAGTCTCCCATTTTATATTTTAGAAAAGTTAAAAGTGTGCCTAAGAGGCATGCACGTGTGCACAGCCGTTCATCTCTCTGATGTCCAATTTAAAGCTCATTTGAGTCAACTGGAAGACTCTTGTTGACTTTTACAAGCTTTGGATCAGATCTTAAGTGGACAGTCGGCCATTTTAGCCATCAAGCTGAGTGCAGTTTTCAAATAGAATTCATATTAACACAGTGATGAACTAATTTGCTCTCAGAATGTAAAACTGTCATGTGATTTGACTGTTGATTTCCATGTGCCACTTACAGCAAGAATCGCCCTGTCTCTTTCGACCAAGTCTGCCAGCTTATCCAAAAGATGGCCCCTTTCCGATGCATCCATTCTCCTCCACACTGAACCTAGAGAAAAAGCAAGGCGAGCTGCCCTCACTGCTTTGTCCGTATCAACCTGTCAAGAAGGAAGAAAAAAACCAAAGGCACTGAGGTAAATAGCATCACCAGGCTTATGACATCTGCTGTTGTACAACCTTAGTCACAGGATGGGGTTTGGATCTGTGATTACAGAACTGTCCAGCAGTGCTGTCCTGGACCTGTCGCTTTGATCCATTTATACATTTCTACCCAGTGACAGGATGCATTTTACCTTGTCAGCTTCCTGGATCTCACAGATCTGCTCTCCCGTTGCTGGATTATATACTGGGAATATTCTCCCACTTTCAGAATTTTGCCACTCATTATTGATGAAAATCTAGAAAGGAAAAAAAAATCATCAGTCCTCCTGCGTGAAGAAGCAGTAATGTATTACAGTCTTCCGGAGTTCAGGCTAGGGGTCAGCCCCGATGTCTTTCTGTGTTCTGTGTCAAGTGTCACTGTAGAAGCAACATCACACTCTAAATAACTTGTTTGACATTCAAATTTGGTTCAAAAACTGTAACAAATAAACTAAAATATCAGAGAAAAAGCCTTGAAACTGCTGGAGACAAGACAAGAAGTAATCATTCAATTCAGTAAGTAAACATTTGGTCACTGATACAACCCAGTCAAGGCTGAATAATCTCAAACATCACAGTTCTTCAATACACAGTCAGTTGATTATAGCTACAGTGATGGCTTGCAGCACAGAATTAACTTGCTTATCTGCTTGGAACAATGGAAATTGTTAAAATTTTCAGTGTTGACATCATTTTAATTGTCACGGGCAAACCAAATTTGAATTTTAATGGTGCTGACAACAGCTGTCTTGAGAGAGGTAATGACAAATGAGTTTATTTAAAGTAGATTTTTACTGGTAGCTGCATACATGCCAGGTATTTTCTACTGAATGACTTTCAAGAACAGGATGCAACTATTTATTAGCAAATGTGAAAGGAGTCACTCTAGGAAAACGACCGAGGGAAAGGTTTTACAGGTATTCAGACTCTTCCTGTCCTTGAAACCCTTCCAAGAATGAAAGTGTTCAAAAAGTCCTGGCACCGTATGGGTTCCTTGGGGTTGGGCATCAGTGTTCTTTCACTGTATTCCATGAAATACAACTTTAAATGCAAAGGGGGATGTTCTGGCCTCATTACAGAATCACAGATCATCTAGGTTGGAAAAAACCTTGAAGATCATCCAGTCCAACCATTAAAATCAGTGGGAATCTACCACTGACTTCAATGGAGGTGGGGGTCCAGCCCTAGACAGAAGGCATGTCCACCACCCTTTTTTGCATGAGGGGTTAAGTTGTGTTTAGTGAGGCAGGGACCTTTCTCTGGTTGCAGCAAAGCGAAGCCCCACACCCCACACAGAACCTACAGCTGGGGATGAGTGGGAAGCCGAGGGACTCAGAGGTTCTGGAGTCAGTTCCAGTTGGAGATACTCAGGTGGGAGGGACTGAGGGCAGGTCATGGCTAGAAAGAATGACAGAATGGCATCAGTCCAGTTTTCTGACAGAACCACCATAGACCCTGGCACAAAAATCTGTCCCACTGATTAGGCAGACTAAACATCACAAACAGCTTGCCCAGAGTAGTGCTTTACCACTCTTTAACCTTGCCCTTTCTGCTGTCCTACTCCCATGCAAGAAGCTGTTACCTTTGTATTGGTACATGGCTCAGGGAGGACAGCTCACGTGTAAGGACTTTGCTTAAATGATGTCAGGTTGTTGGCTCCTTTTTTTGTCTGTTTTTTTATAGCAAAGTTTGATGTGGCAAAACCAGGACAAAAAAAATTACGTTTTTCATGTGGAAATGAATGGAATGTAATACTTGTCTCTTCTAGTCAAAAAACAGTATGATATGATTGTAGATCAGCTGATGATTTTTTACTCCTGGAATAGTACAATGAGGATAGAGGCACCAGCCTGCCAACTAGTTTAAAATTTACTTGAATTTAAGTGTTAACTTGTCTAATGGCAAACAAAGCATCAGCATCGAAATGCTGGGTGTTTAAGGAAAGAGCATCACCAAAGCTTTAATGTGTCTTTAAGGAAGGAAGGAAAAACATAGAGAGCTAGTCATAAATCGATGAGAAGAAACTGAGCTGGGGAAAAAAAATCCAACACTATCTAGCAAAAAAAGCAGCCAAGAGAAAATAAAGTCAGAAAGGTCAAGATGAACAATTGCAACACCGAAGGGTATAAAGTATCTGTAAAATGAAAGAACGAGGTGAGGACTCGGTGTGCCTGCACACTCACACTTGGCACATGAAGGCGAAGACACGTCTGCAGAGTTTTCTGTTACCAGACATGAGCTTGCTCAACCTGTTCTCCAAGCCACATGTAAGCCACGTGGCTGTGTTCTCCTCATGGGGCTTATTGGCTCAGGCTGGGTGCCACACTCACTGCAGTGACAGCTTCTGGGCCAGAGCTGACGCGTGTCCAGCTGACCGAGGACACGGGCAGAAGGAACCTGTGCCTGCCTGGGAAAGACCCTGGTGACATGACAGCTGTGCACAGAATCCAGCAGTGACACGTGCTTTTGCTTTTGGAAAGCCCCTCCAGCCATTTCAGTCTGTCCTTCCCTCCTTTCTGTTTTGGATTCCAGAGGTAGCTGAACCCACCTGGCCATTACCCATCCATCGTTTTCCTGGCACGCTGTATTGACCCTGGAGGTGTTGATGTTCCTGGGCTGTGAGCTCCTCACACTGTGGGTGGTGTCCTCCTGCTCAGAGATGACACTGCTCTGCAAACTGGCGTACCGGTGCCCCTTAGGACACCGGAGCTAACCCATCCAAAGTAAGGTCATACAAGAATCACCAGTATGATCTCCAGTGACTAACACCATAAGCCGAAACCCTCTGGTGTGTCATTGTCACTTTTTAGACTGTAAGTGAAACAAAGAGACTCTGAGATCTGTGACCTGTGTGGAAGGAGGATTTTGCTGTCATTGAGTTCAGTGGAGTTAACTCCATGGCCAGCGTGTGTGGGGGTGCACGGGGAAGGGAGGGAAGGGAGGAAGGTTTGCAGCTTCAGGAGCAGATGCCAAAGGAGATGGAAGGATGTTTGTTTAAAGTTACAGTATGTACATAAACACGTAGGTTCTGCGTGTGATCGAGGTGAGGTTGAGTAGAAGAACCTGAGAAGTGGTGGCAACAGCAATTCAGTCCTCTCCCCTTACAGAAGTGGTCTGCTCTTTTTTAAAAAGGTTACAAAAATGCTAACCACATTCTGCTGGGATGAACACCTATCATCAGGTTTGCTAGCACACAGGACACAAATTTGTTCTTAAAATACACTTCACCATAGGGATAAGAAATAGTGCCTTGGAATTACAAAAGGGTGTTGCAATTCCAGTTGGCTGAACTATAAGGCGCGTTATTGAATGCTCGATTTATCCCACAGATTTAGAGAAAGAACAGTAATATTTCAGATAGGACGCGGGAAGGATCTATTTGGCATAAAGTGAGAGTTGAAGGCAAGAGAAATTGCTACTGTTAATGGTTAATGTTAGTTTCTTCCTGTTCCACTTTCTATAAACAAGGTATTGCCTATACAAGCTCATTACTGTAAACTGAGCACATTTAAATTGGCAGTAAAATCAGAGTATTTACTCTAGTGCACAAATAAAGTACCTAGTCCCATGTTTTGGAACAGTTTCAAGTCTTGAAATCCAGCAGCTGGCGGCTTTACAAGCAAAACCTTACACTTAAATAATTCACTTTTGAAAGTTTTAGGTGTTCTGTGTCAGGTAGTACCATGCAGCAGATATTCCTACCACCAAGACGCAGATTCTTTTGCAATAAATTTGCATTCACGGGGGCTTTTATAACTCTTCCAGCACTACTGACTCCAATGGCTGTTGATTAAACGTATATATCCTGTACATTTAATCTGACTTTCATTATGGCCACTTCGTAAAAATGCCATGAAATGGACAAGTGATGACACATTGCAAGAACAAGGAATCCCTGCAAAGCCTCAAAATGGGTTTTTTTCTGCCTTATTTATAGTGACCATGGTAAAGGCTAACTCTAAATCAGGGAGAATATTTGACAGCAAATGTTCCTATCTATGGATTATATATAACCCATCCTAAACACCAGATGAAAAAGGGGTAACCCTAGAAAAAAGAAGGGCTTGCTTCCATGTAAATCATGCTACAAATTGGACAACACCCAGTGAGTTCATTGTTCAACCTCAATTGTGAAGGCTATTCACGTTTACTATTCCCCTGGAATCAATGTTAATTAAGGCTGACTGGGGCTATAAATCAGCCTTTGGTTTTTACAACTTAATTCAGCATTAAGCATATATATGTAAATAAAAGGTAACTGATTAACCACTTGAGTTTTCCAGGAGTTACTGAGGTAATTTGTTTTTGTTTGAGTCCTAGTGTTACCTTTTGTGATTTGCAGGAAGGAAAAGTATATAGTATGTCATGTATTTGCTATGTGGTATTGTGAGTCGTTAAATAATCTGGCCTGTTGGGTGCTATCAGCCAAACTGTGCCAAAATAGAAAGGGAAGAAGAAGAGAACACTTGAAAAATTCTGGAACACGTGAACATGTAGTTTGCCATCTCCTCTCAGTAGAGCCAGTGACTCTGGCAGTCATGTCAGAGCAGGAGCAGAGAACAAACCTCCCTGTTGTCTCCGTCAGTACAGTGGTTTGGCCAAGAACAAACCCAACCTGAAAAACAGACAATGTCTCTGCTAAGCGAGGAATCTGGCTGAAGCTGGTGTACAGTGCCCTAAGGAGGAAACAAAATCCTGTCTGTTCACCAGCGATGCTGCCCGAGGCAACGCGGGACCAGGGCGGCAGCGGGGGGCGAGGGTGACCTGTGTGGGCCGCAAGCTTCAGACAGGCCTCACGGTGCAGTAGGCGTGGTTGGGAGCTCCTGGTTGTCCCCGTGAATGTGGCTCTGGAGTGTCCCCGTTCCCAGGAGATACCATCGTGGAGGCTCCTGGTAATTTCTGTTCCTTTCCAAAGGAAAGATGGAGGGGTGGCATTTTCCTAAAAGAACAGGAGCTCCCTCCCAGCACCGACAACAACCTCTTCCTCACACAC